GGTGAGGGGGGCTGGGGGGGTCGGGAGGGGGAAGGAGCTTCTTCCCTGCAGCTTGAGCTTCTTCCCTGCAGCTTGAGCTTCTTCCCTGCAGCTTGAGCTTCTTCCCTGCAGCTTGAGCTTCTTCCCTGCAGCTTGAGCTTCTTCCCTGCAGCTTGAGCTTCTTCCCTGCAGCTTGAGCTTCTTCCCTGCAGCTTGAGCTTCTTCCCTGCAGCTTGAGCTTCTTCCCTTCCTCTGGGCTGAACCCGCACCAGCCTGTGCCGGGCCCCGCCTTGGGCTCCAGCCTCGAGATGGGGCGTCTCTTGTCGTTCCTTTTCTCCCCGCTTCTCTACCGTGGTGAGGCCACGTCTGGGGCACAGGGCCCAGTTCTGGGCTCCCCAGGTCAAGAGAGTCAGGGAACGACAAGAGAGAGTCCAAGTGGAGGGTGGCAAAGGTGACTGGGGGGTTAGAGCATCTCTCCTGTCACAAGGAAGGGCTGGGAGAGCTGGGACTCGTGAGCCTGTAAAAGGGAAGGCTGAGGGGAGACTTTATTAATGCCTACAAGTATCTAAAGGGTGGGTGCAAGGAGGATGGAGCCAGACTCTCTTCAGGAGTTCACAGTGACAGGATGAGGGGCAACAGGCACAAGCTGGAACATTGGAAATTCCAGTTAAATATGAGGAAACACTTCTTTACAGTGAGGGTGACAGAGGCCTGGAACATGCTGCCCAGGGAGGTTGGTGAGCCCCCTTCTCAGGAGATATTCAGAACCCACTGGGATGCAGTCCTGAGTAATGTTCTCTAGGTAATCCTACTTTAGTGGGGGAGTTGGACTGGATGATCTCTAGAGGTCCCTTCCAACTCTAGACAATCCCATTATTTCTCTGTGCTTTCCAGTAATTGTTTTTTTTTTCTCCATAGCTCTGAAAAGACTGCGTGAAGCTGCCAATAGCAACGACTTGGACACAGGTAAGACTTCTGCCAATCCTACTTGGGACCTCTTTCTGGAAAGACAGGTTTGTCAAGGATCTATTTTAGGAGTGGAAGAAGAGGGTGCAGATAGTCTCTGGACACAGTTCTTTAGTTGCTGCAAATCCTGAAACTGCTCTTCTGGAGCCTCATTTTTTTTTCTCTGAGCAGAGTGAGGCTGATTATAATAATCACACTTTCACTGCATCTGTTTGGTAGTGTTAGTTTTCCAGCTGCCTCAAGCTAAGTCATCACTTCACTGTTCCAGCTTTTTGAGTATGTCACTTTTGCCCAATTGTAAGCAGCAAGTGAGTAGTGTTTTGGAAAGGTGGAAAAGTTATGATTATCTAAGCCATACCCTGTGTGATGAGACAGTGTTACCCAGCAGATCAGAGCTAGGACCAGTGCTGGGGTCTGTCCCTCACAGTGACTTCAGAGAAGGATCGTGGCCTCTCTGTGATTCTCCTTGCCTTCTGTACTGTAAATTAGGTGGGGTTTGATATGAATTGTCAAGCAGCAATATTGACAAATATTACCTGCCCCTTTACCATTGTCTCTCCTTAGCCTATACAGTCTCTACAGCTGTGCTGGCCTGTTCATCCCACCATTTTGTGAACAGAATTGGAAACTGGTTTGATTTGTTGAAACACCCAGTATACGGACAGTGATTTGTCTGGTGTGCTTCAACCTTTGGCTCCACAATACACCTTGTTTCATGAACTGATGGGTAATGTTCACTGGTGAGCACTGTCAGTACAGAAAAGCTTGGCTTCAGTCACTGAGTCAAGAGGAAGAATGACTCAAATCAGGCTTTATAAAAGTCTTCATTCGAATCCACCTTTGAGTTTTACACCAGTATCTGATACACAGGTTCCCCTGTTTACAATCCTGCTGCGTTTGTGTACTCTGCAACTTGAGGAAGTGTCTGATGATGAATTTGTTCTTTATCAACAAGTAAAAATTGCTGCTGTTTCCGGTGGTGGCACTGAGTGGAAGGTGTTGTGTCATTTCCTACTGTCTTCAGGGAAGGACTACATAAAGTATTCCCCATTGATGGGTCTCACTGGTGGCACACTCAGTCTCTTTGTCTTTCTTCTGGAGTATCAAAAATTCCCTGTTACCACCACTTCTGTCTTTTCAGGTGTTCCTTTTTCTTCTATGCCACTCTTAAAGCAGCAGGTGTACAGGAAGAAATTAAAATGTCACTGTAATTTGATTTCTGGAAGCTGGGACAATTTGTGGCTTGCAGTGCTCTGTTTCTTGTCTCCAATGCTGGTCAGTCTTGACTGTGGCAAGATATGCTATTAAAGATCTCATAAAATCTGCCAGTATTTTAACAGCTACAGAATGGGCTTTATTTTACACACTGATTACCATATTAGAATAATTAAAAAATAAATAAATGGAGTAACAGCCCTTGCACTTACATGTGTTGTTTTAGATGCTACTTTTACGTCCCTAAACTTTTCAGCTGTTACTGGTCTCTTTGCCTTTGTTATACTCAATAATAGAGAGTTATACTAATTTCTCTTTCTTGAACAGGTTTTTCCTTCTTATCTGAGGAAAGGAGGTAGTTCAGGTCACACAAAGTGCTGGTGGATTGAGGGCATTGAGGAAGTAGCTGGATGGAAAAGCAGGGGGAACAAGTGTGAGTAGATGATGGTGTGGCTACTTGGGCTGTTCACTAGCTCACTCCAACACATCATCTCCTAAGAGTCTGTTTGCACTGCTGCTGGCAGGTTGGTGCCCTCACCTGCCTGCTTCCCAGTCAGTAGCCACCATTAGAATGGCAAAACTTAGGAGTTTCAGATTAATCTGGAAAGTGACATATTCAAAACAGTGTGAAGAAGTGTTTGTTTTTTTTTTTCTCACTGCATGGAGTTATACTCTGAAATGTCTCACTGCAGGTGACTGATAAGAGAGGTTTACACAGATGCAGCAAGTGATTGTGCCAATCAATGGAGAAAGCCTATGGAGGGCTAGTAAGCACAGGATGGTAATTCTAGCTTGGGAATTGCCTGAGATGCAGCTGACTAAAGGCTGTGAGAGTTAACCCCACCTCCTCATCATCTTTATGTACTCTGTAGGCATTTGCTGCTGGTTGTCCTTGGAGCTTGAATATTTGGCTAAATGGACCCTTAGCCATTACAGCTGTTGGCTTGTCTGTTGTGGCAGCACCTGGTGAAGCTGTAACAGAGGGTGGAGGGTACACTGCCTAGGCTGGTCCTGCTGGGCTGGGGTGCTGGCTGGAGCTGATTCAACTCCAGTTGACTTGACAGATGGCAGAGTGTGTATCTGCCTGCAGAGGAGCGAGCAGCATTACCCCTTCCTGATCAGATGTCCCCTCAGCTTACCTGCTTTTTTCTCCTCCTTGGTGCTGTCAGTGCAGCAACTCCTGGAGGATGGGACTGACCCCTGTGCTGCGGATGACAAAGGCCGGACAGCCCTGCACTTTGCCTCCTGCAACGGCAACGATCACATCGGTGAGTGGGGAGGGGAAGTTCTATCATCCCACCTCTCTGTGCCAGAGATTCTGAAGAGTGCTCTTTATTTTGGTACTAGAAGGAAGGGTGTCTGTAGTCCCAGTTCTTTCCCTTAGGGAGCCCTGGAGAGGTGTCACTGCCTGACTTTGTGCTGGGTCCTTCTGCATTGCTGGGCAAACCTCTGTCCCCTGTTTCTGGGAGGAAGGTGATGAGCTGAGCAGAAGCATCCCTAAGGCATGGACCTGTGGCCCGTGTGGGCCTGACCTCTGGGGCCAAGGGAACGGAGTGATGTGGCTTCATTTCCTTATTTCCAGTGCAACTGCTTCTGGACCATGGGGCTGATCCAAACCAGAGAGATGGGCTGGGAAACACCCCCTTACACTTGGGTAAGTGCTGCACAGATGAGCTCTGCATGCAGACAGGTGAGGTGAACACCACCTTGCTTTTCTTTCCTCTCCACCTTTCTCTTTCCTGTACTTCACAGTACGCATCCCCAGCTTTAAGGACCTAGAGGGGACTCTTTGCATTTCCTTAGCTTCACTCATGAAGGCCTATGGGTCAGAGGTAGAGAAAATCCTTTTCCCTCCCTCTGCCAGCCCCAAGGAGCATGACATCCCTTCCAGAGAGAATGTCTAGGCTTGAGCGTGTGGTTACCCTTGATAGTTGGGCTGTTCCTCTTCCTCATGGCAGAGAGCTGTCTGGGAAGCTGCAAGCTCCACCCTTGAGCAGAAACTCCATGGTTCTTGGCTAGTACCTCTGAGTTGTGTGTCCTGTGTTTTCCCTCCCCAGCTGCCTGCACGAACCATGTTCCTGTCATCACCACGCTGCTGCGCGGAGGTAACATTTCCTGTGTAACCCTTACAGCCTGTCCCTTTCCTGCCCTGCCTTTGTTGATCCTCCCCTGGGACAATAAGTCTGGAAGACAGACCTCACCTTCTGTCCTTGCTTATGCCTCTTGCAGGGGCCAGAGTTGATGCCTTGGATCGAGCTGGCAGAACCCCACTGCACCTTGCGAAGTCAAAGCTAAACATCCTGCAGGAGGGACTCTCCCACAGCCTGGAGGCTGTACGTCTGGAGGTGAAACAGGTAAAGGCAAAAGTCCCATCTCCTGGTAAGGTGGTGCAGCACCTGGCAGTCTCCTGCACCCTTTATTTAAATACCTGTCTGTAGGCTCTTAGCTTCTCTGGGGAGAGTTGGATTTTTTCCTTCTGTTTTTAGAGGCCTTCCTTTTTTCCCAGCTGCTACTCTGAATTGATTTCAGGACCTCTCTTGGCTCTGGTAGGCCAAGGTTGCATTGAATGTCTTAATTCTTGGGCTGTATGAAGCACTCTCTATTCTTCAGCCACCATATAAGACAGATGTGTTGTGGTAGGAGAGGAACCACAGGATGGGGCTGTAGCCATGGCATACACATTCCAGCAGGGATTCTGCATTCCTAGCTGCCCTGCTCTGATATGTGCAGGCATGGGATAGGAAAGCAGTCACAGGGCAGCATCACAAATGCACAAAGCGTGGGCCTTGCCTCAGGAGTGATACAAGAATTTTTGTCCTTGATGCTGAAGTGGATCCTGCTGGAGTAGGAAGTTCCTGCTCTTCACAATAAGGGAAGCTAGCTGACCATAAGGAGTAGCTCAGAGCTTTCAGAGCTAGACCTTGTGCTTCTTCAGCTGGGCCTCTGTCTCTTCCCTGTTCTTAAACAAGGAACAAAGATCACAACTAGTCTATCTGTGGCTGACAAATGCCTCTGTTGACATGCTGGGCTCTGGTGCTGCCATTATCACTCTCCAGTTGCTTTGCATGATGCTCTTGTGGGTCTGCTACCTACTGCAGCATCAAGGCTGTGCTTGGCAGTTTATGTGTAATGTAATTTTCCCTGTAAAAACATTCCAGCCTGGTCCAGCTGTCTGATTTTTGCCTGTGGGTTTCAGATTATCCAGATGTTGCGGGAATACCTGGACCGTCTGGGGAGGCATGAGCAAAAGGAACAGCTGGATGACCTCTGCTCCAGGTTACAGATGACTAGCACCAAGGAGCAGGTAGGCAGCCCTGAGCTACTGTGACTCACCTACTTGCCTTGTGACTTCTGTGTTTAGGAGAATGCAACTGCAAGGGCAAGTTGACATTGAAGACGTGGTTATGGAAGTGTCCTTGCTCACTTTGGGTAAAGTGGGCAAGTTCCATTGGGACTCAGTCCTTTGGGTTGGAATTCAAAATGCAGAAAGCATCACTGTGCCTGGCAGCTCAGCAGAGAAGCTGAAGATCAGATGGGTTGAGGGCACAGGCATTTTAAGGCCAGGGTCAGTACAACCACACAGGGTTGCAGGGCTTGTTGTAGGTTTTGCTTGTTTGTTTTTTTGGTTGTTTGTGTGTTTTCCTACAAAATATTGGCCATTATAAGCAGGCTTAACAGAAACAGCCCTGCTACCCTTGTTGAGTTCTGGGTAATGCAGCAACATGCTTCTATTTTAAGGACTGTCTAATGTCAAGCACTGACCTCCTGAGGAATGGGGAGAAGGTCCTATTGCCTTAGATAAGACCTGTTTGATCATGAGGACAGGAGCCCTCCTACACAACTGTGGGACCAAAGGAATCCTGTCTTAGGATAAGCTCAGCATGGGCATCACTGGTGTCATGGGGCAGGGGTGGTCCCTGTTGCATGGGGCTTTCTTCTGTGGTGGTGGTCAGCTGCACAGCTGCATTGCTCTGCCTAATGGCCAGCTGTATTCTTCTGTCAGGTGGATGAGGTTACAGACCTTCTGGCCAGCTTCACATCGCTCAGCCTGCAGATGCAGATGGAGAAGAGGTAATGGGCTTCCACATCATCTTCCTGATGCACCAGGAGAAGCCTTAGAGAGAAAAAGAGGAAGCTGAAGCTTGCTTCCTGGATTGCTGAATAAACATTGCTGCCAGTGGCCATCCCTGCCAGATCCACTCTCCAGTGGTGTTCAGACTGTCCCTGTGGGTGTTGCCACAGCTGCCTCACAGGGAGGCAGCAAGCTTTGGAAAACAGAGACAGCAGAGTGCTGCAGCTGAGACTCTTGGAGAAAAAAATGCTGCTCTGTTTTTTATCAGATGGGCTGGCCCTGAATAAGATACCCCTTCCTGAGATACTCTGCCTTGTCCTAAGCACATCAGCTCAACGTAGGTGGTGGCTGATGCCATGTGCAGTCACAAGCCCTGACTGGGTACCCTCAGCAGCTGGTCAACATCACAGAAATGTTTGGAACAGGCACCTTTTGCCACCTCCACAGTACTCAGTTGCACGGGGGAGAAAGTGGATGCCTTGGACAACAGAAGGCTTTGTGCTGTGAGAAGAACACATGCTTAATTTTGTGCATGCTAGCAGCTGAGCAAACATACTGCCTTGAGAAACACACACTGAGGCTTAATCCTAACCTTCTCCTGAGCCTGTGGTCTGAGAATCTGTTTGGTTACAAATGGGATACAAAGCTTTTAATCACTAGACTTACAACTTTCACTGACCCCGTTTTTTAAATCACTGTTGCAAGTTAGCGCTTAAATACTACAGTGAAAGACTTGCAAAAAATACCCAGGCAGATAGCAAGCAGGTCAGAGCTGCCATGGTGCAAGAATATTGTTGGGGGTGAGGGGGATGTGACTTAATCCTAGTGCAGTTTTAGACATCTTGCAAGAAAACCACTGTAACTGTGGTTTCCTATTCCTGGGTTACTGGGGCAAGAGGTCCAGTTGCAACAGGAGGTATTGTACTGCCACAGCAGCACCAAACCCAGATCTAATCCGTACTGTGTTTCTTGCTTGTCACGGAGAGGTGCTGCTTCAGGACCGAATGTGCAGCGTGAGGAACAACGTTCTGACCTCTGCTGGGAGCCTGAAGTGATGCAGCTATGAAGGATGAAGGGAATAGCTCTTGCTGCTCACTTGCTTCTGCCCTGCTGTGGTTAGTAATGACGATGTAGATAGCTTTTTTTTTGGAGCTGGGATCCATTAAATCATGTCAGTAGGGTGACACCACCAGCAGCAGGGTGACAAGAAGGTGTCCAGCAGTAATCTGAGTTCCCACCTAAAATGATGTAATGGCCTGGTGGCAATACCCATGCCACAGCTTGGGAATCACAGGTTTGGAACGATTTGTTCTTAGGATTCAGTTTCAACAGCCACAGTCTGCAGCATTCTTCAGAGACCTTCAGGTCAGCAGCTTCTCTAATATCTGGCCTGTTGTCTAGGACAGGGCTAAGTGGACCTCACATGTTCAAAGCTGAGGCACAAAAAGACACCTGGCTCTTAGCTGGATACATCCGTGGGATGCTGGAGACCATGGCTGGGGTTACTATGGTCTGGTTAGGCTGGAGCTGTCACTATGAATACTGATACTTTGTCACAATACTCCGGATGGAAAGGATACAGAGGGGGTGGGAGACAATCTGACCTTTTTTTATTTTGAACTTCAATAAAAATCCAACCAGCCTTTTCAGACTCCTCAGCCAGGTTTTCTCTGTTTCAGAGAGTCTCATTCCACCTTCTTTACATGTGCTCCAGGCACAGCACCAGACTGGGTAACTGCTGCTCTCGTACCCAGTACTGAAATTAAAAGTGACAACATGGAGTTGTTTGAATTCAAACACCAGTCTGTTTGCAGGTCGAAGTACACAGTTGCTTACTCAACTTTCTGATCTTGACTCTCACAGCCAAGAAATCCACATTTTTTATCTGTTTAGTTGTTGTGAAAACATACAGATAGATGAAAGAATCTCAGTGGGATTGCTTGAAGTTGGAAGAAAGGATGTTTTGCAGAGAGGAAAAGCAGCCTTACCCAGTCTGCTCTGCTGTGTACATATGGAACTGGTGGGGAACTTGTGCCTTGTCCCATGCCAGAAAAAACAGTTGTGCTGTGCAAAGGCAGCAAGAGGAGCTGGGGAAGGGACATCATCTTGGGATGGCAGAGAATTTCCAAGGTGGTTCCTGGATGAGGAGCAGGTGGCCCTCATGTCCAATCTTTACTTGTCTTGCTTCTTCCCATCTACACAGCCTAGTCTTGGTGTCCACGTCACCCAGATATCACCACTTCTGTACTCAACAGCTTTGTTGCTGAGGAGACCATTAAGGTGCCCTAAAAGCAGATGAAGTGCTCTTTATTGCTGCAGTTACCTTAGTTGTTGATATTGTCCACTAACTAGACACAGCTGGGAAGCTTTCCTTAAAGCCAGGAATACACTTAGCTGGGACTTAGAGCAAAGCTTTTAGCCTGAGTGCACATGATGATGTCCACAGCTCTTCAGGCCTTTGTCTTGCCTGATGCTGGAGTTTTCATGACTGCTCCTGACTGTGTGCTTGGGATGTAAAGGTGTGGGTGCTGCAGCCAGCTGGGAGTGTTTCTTTCCTCTTGTGTAGCACTACTTCCTCCATGGGAGGTAAGGCAGCACTGGAAGTCCCCTGGAGACTGGCACAGTGAGCTGAGGCAAATAAAATGAGTAGGCTCCTAGGAAGTTTTGCCACTGATTTAGTGTGAACATCAGATAAGAAAGAGAAAGGGCATCTTGTTTTCGGAGGGGTGGGGGGAAGTGTTAAGTATGGATCACTGCAGTCAGTCCTGCTTTCCTGCCTCAGGGTTGAAGCACTGGGCTGCTGAGAGCCCTCTCATGTGTTTGGCACTGACATTTTGGTTTCTCTGTGTCAGCTGAATATTGCCAAAGCCTTGACTGCCTTGCCATGCTCAGCAGCTGTATCTTAAGAGTTACCTGCTGAGGAGGGAAAGAAGGAAGGAAAAGGTTCCAGTGGAGGAGGAGAGAATGGCTTCACAGTGTGCTCAGAGCTCTTTGCTGGCACTGTGTTTTTTCTGCTGCTTCTGGCCTAGAGTCTTCAACCACTCCCAGCAGCTTTTCCCCCTGCCCTTGCACCCTGGGCCACAGCTTCATAGGCGTGAGGCTGATGGCAGCTTCCTGCATCTCCCAGAGGTGTCTGCTGCAGTAATGAAGAATGAAAAATACGACACTGGTTCCCTTCTGCTATTTGTTTTATCATTAAACTCAGTCCAACCTCCTTATTTTCTTTGTTCTACACCATCAAAAACACCTCGGAGCCATGATGTCAGTCAGGACTAGACCCAAGGCCCTGCTTCCACCTCTCTGCTGTCTAGCGTCCTGATACACTCCTCATCCCCACCTTGTTCAGATCACAGCTCTGCAGTGATGTGCTGAATCCCCAGCTGCTGAACACAACCCTGCTGTGCTGT